ACTGAATGGCGCGTGCCGAGTGGAGAGCGGTCCCAACTAACATTGTCCTCTCCAACAACGATCAATGTGCATCATCGGACTAACATAAAAAAGAAAAACTGTGATTAAGTCAGCCATTAATGCAATTTGAAGCGAGCAATTAGTTCGTGTTTCGCTGTTATCCTCCGGCTAAAGTTCGATTGCTTTCACTTGCATGTCATAGCTGGCAGCAGCATCAACCTGAACTTGCTCAATAACTATTTGTCAGCTTAAAGAAATAGTGGAATGCAACCAACAACAGCTTGAGGCTGCTTTATGAACTAGACGATTTTCCTGATTCCAGATTTTTTCGTGTTCCTAGTTTCCAGTCTTAAATTTGTTCATTTTCGTTGCTACTCTTAAGTTTTTAGTTTTCAGTTTCTACCTTTGCGTTTCCAGTTTCCAGCTTTCATTTTATAGTTTCAAGTTTCTAATTTCTAGCTTTGAGTTTTTAGCTTTCAATTTTCAGCTTCCAGTTTCCAGTTTCTAGCTTTGAGTTTCCAGCTTCCCTTTTTCAGTTATTTATTTTCCAGTTTCCAGATTCCGTTTTCTAGTTTCCAGTTTCCAGCTTTCCTTTTATAGTTTCAAGTTTCTAATTTCTAGCTTTGAGTTTTTAGCTTTCAGTTTTCAGCTTCCAGTTTCCAGTTTCTAGCTTTAAGTTTCTAGTTTCCAGCTTGCGTTTTCCAGTTTTTTATTTTCCAGTTTCCAGATTCCAATTTAGAAGATTGCAGTTTCTATTTTCTTGTTTCCTGCTTCCAGTTTCCAGCTTTCGTTTTCCAGTTTCCAGTTTCTAGTCTTAAATTCCTTCTTTCCAGTTTCAAAGTCATAAAAGAATTTTAAGTACTAAAGCTAAAATACTCTTTCTTAGTTTGGATAAAGTGAGCAATAGACATGCGCCTTCCACGCCAATTTCTTTAATGATCAATCTCCAGCTCTATTGAGCTTAATCTCGAGGACATCTCAATTGGCTTGATCGTGGCTAAGGTTAATGCAATTGAATCTGAGTCAGAGCTAAGCATTGTTTTCTTTTGCTCTTTTCTTGGATAAATAATTAAGTGGACGGCGTAATGGCGAGTCCTTGCGAGTCCTTTCTGGCCGGGGCAGACAGCGCGATGTGCAATATTTTATCGCGTTGCGATTCTGCGCCCGTCACATTAATAAAAGCACAAAATGCAGGCAAATTTCCAGGCGAATGTGTTCCAAGTGCCTTTTACAGTTATACATTTTAGCACACACACCCGAGCACACACACACACACATGTACATGCAGGCAGTCTGCGGAGCTCGCAGTGTGCGCTTGCTACTTCAGGCATGCCACACGGCAATGGGGAAAGTGTCAAGTTAATGCCAACAACAAGCAGCAAAGCCAAAGGCAACACCATAGCAGACATGCCGCCTTTGACTGCCAGTGGGCGTGGCAGTGAAGAGCAGCTACCCAAGCATCTAATGACTGCGTTGACGTCGCATTTGCTGCGCAAAAAAACGCAACACACAGCGATAGAGATAGAGCGAGGAAGAAAGAGAGGGAGGAGTTAGTTACTCGCATAGATACAGTTAGAACTTTTTGCACTTGGCAAAAGTTTTAGGCTTGAATTCGTGAAATAGAGTTAACTCGAGAGTTGTTAGAGATTTGATACTTACACTAGCTAACACAAAACAGAAATATCTAACTGCGATAGATCATATATGTAAATCGAGTCAAGGTAGCAGAGCACCTTAAGTCTCAATTGATTTGTTCGATAAGAGCTCAAGTCTTAAGCCAAGAGCGAGCTCAGTTTTTGAATGGCTTCATTGAGCTTCCCTTGTTAGCCAACTCATAAGTCATTTAAGGCCTCTAAACTGATCTTATAAAACTATTCCATAAACTGTTATGATGACTAGGAAAATGGATTTTGTGACTCAAGCAACAGCTATAGCTGAAGAGGTCTGCTGCAACACGATCCAAGCTATAGCATATTAAACGCATATTTCGCTCAGTGCATGCTTAGTTTATAATGATGCTGCTGCTGCTGCTGCTGCTGCTGTCGTTTAGTTGCTAAGACGATGCCGACAGTTGGACCCAAGTCTTTAGACAACTCAAGCGAACTGAAGTTGAGTCACGGCCCTGCACTGACAATGATATGTGCCCGAGCTGAGAGTACTAAGCACTCACCTACAACCCCACACACACGCACACACACACAATGACAATTGCTGTCAAGGCCACACACACACACGCGAGCACATACAGGTTGACATGCAAACGCTAAGCGAAACAGCAACAAAAGTCGCTAGAGAGAGAGAGAGAGAGAGCGAGTGGGGGCAAGGGGATCACAGTGGAGACACTTTGCACCGGAAATATTGTTGACAGTTGTGGCATATTATCATACGGCGGTGTCCCAGGCACGCGTCACATAATTGCTCAACATTTGTAGCAGCCACACACACCACACACCCCGCACTCGCTCACAGAGACAAACTTGAGAAGAAAGTGGAGCGTACTTCCACATCGTTATGACTGCTCCACTCATTTTGCCAATTATTGTTTGCAAATGTCAATGCCTGAGCGAGAGTCTGGTATTTATTTAAAAATAATGCTTAAAGTGCTCACAGAGACAGAGGCTCAACCAACTCAGCAAAGTCATTCGACGCATGACAAGTTATATACCTGGACTTGAGTGGAGCCATGCCCTAGGCAAGGTTCTATAGAGACTATAGACTTAGCCTTTAGCATTAAACAAATTGTAGTAGGCTTGCCAGCATTCTCAACGAGAAAGTTCAAACGCTTCTAGCAAATTCAGTTACTAACTTACAGAGCTCAAGGCAACACCAAAAAACACGTTGCAAGTTCGAAAATAAATATATATATCTATATATATATACATATATATAAAGATAGATATATATATATATATATATATAGATATATATATATATAGATATATATACATATACATATACACATATATATATATATATATATACATATATATATCATCGAGGGCGGCAAATTTGTAGACTTAGAAATCGGCCAAGAGATGGCGCTAGAACAACTTTGCGGCATAAATAAGGCGCAGTTCATGAAGCCGTCTAACGATGCCAACGAGGCCTATGCAGACATAGAGATCAATAGATTTCTAACGGTGTTCGACAACCCCTACTCCTTGTTCGCGCCGCCATTCGATAATCCCAAGCAGCGGCTCGCCAAGCTGCTGAGGCGCGGCAACATGAAGCTGGAGATGTCGCATGGGACGACAACGCTGGGCTTCAAGTACAAGGGCGGCATTCTGCTGTGCGCCGATTCACGTGGCACCAATGGCAACTTCATCGCCTCGCAGAATATGCGTAAAGTGATACACGTGGACAGGAGAATCCTGGGCACGATAGCCGGCGGCGCTGCCGATTGTGTCTACTGGGATCGCGTGCTCTCAGTGGAATGCCGCCTCCACGAGCTGAACTACGGCCGTCCGATGTCGGTCATCTCGGCAGCGCGCATCCTCAGCAACATTGCCTACAAGTTCAAAGGAATGGGCCTATGCATGGGCATGATGCTAGCCGGCTACGACTTCGATGGACCGAAGCTCGTCTACGTGGACTCCGACGGACAGTGCGTCGAGGGCCATCTCTTCTCGGTGGGCAGTGGCTGCAACTGTGCCTTGGGTATCCTCGACTCGTTCTACAAATATGACATGGGCGATGAAGAGGCCTACAGACTGGCCATGCGCAGCATCTATCATGCCACCTATCTGGATACTTATACGGGCGGACTGGTGCGTCTCTACCACATGAAGCCGGATAATTGGTCGACCGTAACCGTCAAGGATTGCAGGGACTTGAGGGAAATCTTTGCACCAGTCAACACAAATGAATCAATCGAAGAGTTTTCCAAATTCATCAGGGAGGACTTCGTTCCCGACTCCGACGAGGAGCACGGTGGAGGTGAGGCGAAGGACACTCCCGCGCCGATACCGATACAAAAGAAAACAAAATAGGTTTCCAATTTTATATTTTTGTTAGTTGATCCAAATTTACAGATAGGTACAGTCCAGTCCCAGAAGGCAAGGACTGACATGGTTTCACGCTTTGTTCAGATTCTCATTCAACGAGTCTCTAAAATAATTCGAGCTAGCAGAGTTTTTATGGCTTATATATTTGACTTTATCCCAAATAAATATTTGTACTTTTATAAACAAACGTAAATCTCTATCAACTCAAGTATTCAAATTCTATGATATTACGGCTATCTAGAGCGTAAGTCTTAGTTCCATATTTTCTGTGGCATTTAAGCTGCGCTTTGGGAGAACGAAATAAACTGATCGATTCTTATCGATACTAGGAAAATGAGCTATCGAGTTAGCATGATAAATTTGTACCGAAGCTTCATTTGCAATATTGCTATATTGTTAGCTTTCCAACTAGATAAGATTTCACAATCCAGCTTAATTTTAAAATGCATTACAGATATTTTCTTTATCAAAAGTTTCATAGCTTAATTAAATAAGCTTTTGTTAAGCTTAAGCAAAGCTCAGCAGCAGCTTGCACAAGCAAAAGCTGCGCGTTAGCGCCATCTGGCAGCCAACTTGCAAACTTGCCAACTTGGTTCAAGTCTTCGCTAGACTCCAATGCAAAGCACACAAATTCAAATAGCAGGGAAATTAGTGAAAAGGATTTTCTAGCTGAAATGTCCTTGTGCTCAAATCGAACTGCTAAAGCAAGCCAAGCTATTAATTGGTCGAGTCATACAATTCAAATATACAAAAAGATATATATATATATATATGTTCATATATATATATATATATATTTAAATATATATATTTATATACATTAATATTGATAAACAAATATAGATTCAGTCGTATGCAGCAAGCCAGCAGCAGGAAGAACAAGCGCGCGCAACATCGAGCAACGCACGCACACACACATATATATGTATGAGTATATATGTATGTCTGCATGTGTAGTATATATGTACAGGAATATATCGAGCGAATCGGTAAAAGATGTCGATACTGAGCCGACAGGGCCTCATATTGGATACGCTCAAGCATAAGATACAGTTGGCCAAGCATGATCTGGATCGCTATAAGGAGGACTATAGCCACTGCCAGCAGAGGCTGCAGCGAGAGCTGCAGCGTCGCGGCCAATTGGAGGAGAGCTACATGGAGCTGCAGCAGCGCAATGTGCAGCTGGAGGATGAGCTGAAGCTGGCGCTGAACCGCGTGGCCAGACACCAGGCGACGGTGAGCGAGACCCGCGGCGCTCTCAACGAAAGCGATCGGCTGCGCAAGGCGCTGGAGCAGCGCGATCAGCTGCAGTCGGAGAAGATCGAGCTGCTCGTCTGGGAGCTGGCCAAGTTGGAGCGTCAGGCGAAGGAGGCCGACCGCACGGCCCAGTACAGCGGCCAGCGAGCCGAGCAGCTCTGCCGGCGCCTGACGAGCAGCGAACAGCAGCTGGAGGAGAGTCGCGCCAGCCAGGCCCTGCTGCAATCGGAGCTGGACGCAGCGGCCCAGAACTTGCACTGCGTGGAGCGGGCATTCGAGCATTCAACGCAGCAGGTGCAAGACTTCGATCGGCAGGTGACCAAGCTGAAGCAGCAACTGCAGGAGAGTGAACGACGCGCCCACCAGGCTGAGCTCACGGCCGAGCAGCTGCAGCTGACCTCCGATCAGCTGGAGCGGCGGCTCGAGGAGCGTTTCGAGTATCGCTTGCGCCAGCGGCTCCACAAGCTGGACCTGCAGCTCGTGGCCAAAGAGAACGCCTAAACAACGCCCCCAACATCACGTCGCCCCCCAAATTCTACAAGTTTAGTTTAGCCCAATTAGCGCTTAAGCCATTTGTTCTACGATATATTTAGCTTTTACAATAAAACTAAACAAAAAATAGAAGCAATGAAACAACAAAGAGTTGTGATCGACTATCAATGCATTGACTATCGATGAGTTCGACTTGAGCAACGTTCTTGGAATGGAATGTGAGAGAGTTATTTGGCGACTTTCTGGTATTTATCTGTAGAATAATTTGCCTCAATCTCTTATTGATACTGGAATTTCGACATAAAAAAAATTGTTTCTTGAATTAAAAATCGATCATAATCGATATTTTAGCATAAGCCTTGTACTTATTCTGTATATCGAATCGTTATCATATTTTGATGATGATCTGTTACCATATCTAGTATCTGACTAGCTCAAGCACTTAAGCTTCATGCTTGTAGAAGGAAGACATGACTTAAGCATAACGATGAACTCCTGATGGATCAAGGAGCTTTCGACTCTTCCCAATGTCAACACGATCGGGCATGGGAACTTAGTAAGAAACACTTGTGCCCTAGAGAGAATTAATCTGAAAAGAGTTTTCAGAGCAGCAGTCGCTCTTCGGAGTTTTGAATCGCAATCGAATCACACAAGAAACATATATCTATATATAACTTCATGTTCAAGCCAAATAAAGTCAATTAAAATTTTAGTTTGAAATTTGAGTTTTGAAACACAAAAAAATCATTTTGACATTTGAAAAGTCAGTTTCGGCAAAAGATAAAGAAATAAATCTATAAAAATCGGGAAGATTTTCTTTTAAATTAAAATTATATTATATTATATAAAAATTATATTGTATAAAAATTATATTATAAAAAATTATATTATAAAAAATTATATTATAAAAATTATATTATATAAAATTTATTTTGTTTTGTTTTTTCTAGAATTTCCATAAAGTCTGGAAACTTGTCTTGCTTGCTACAAAAGTTGAATTGAAACTGAGTCAAACTAAATCTGACATGAAAATGATTTAAGCTACCTGAGAGTCAGTTAGAATCTCTGTTAGAAAAAGAGCCAAAGAGTTGCTTAGAAACTTATTGTATAATAAACACATTTCGATGACTTCTTATATTTGCTTAAATAAAAAAAAAAAAAAAAAACAATACAAAAGCAAATGGAAAATGATTTGCATATCAAAGCAAATTTGATTGCTAAGAAATTACAGCTAATCTAATGATAGAAGAATGTAGAAAAAATATAGAGAAAAGATATTTAGCAAACATATAGAACAGACAACTAGAACCGATGCTGAAAATGAAGCGAATTTCGATTTGAGATTTGTTCACGTTGACAGCCTTCAGATTGCCAGAGCTGCGCTGGAACATTGTTGACTCCGATTAGGCTAGCTTATGAACTCTGGCGTGGCTGTATTTGAAAGTGTATCTGGTCGGCGTTGCGGAACTTCAGCGAGATGCCCTCAACGAACTGCAGCTGTTCCAGTTGCTGATCGCTGCTGAAGTCGAAGTTGGCTATCAGCTTGACCAGAAAGACCTTCATGATGAAGAAGCTGTAGCGGCGACCTGTGCCACGAGCAATTGCGTTGTTCAGCGTTGAGCACTTAATGCCAATGGCCAATCAGACTTACCTATGCAGGTGCGCAGGCCCTTGGAGAAGGGCAAGAAGCTGTAGGAGTGTCGGCGCTGTGTGTGCTTTGATTGGTGCTGCTGCTGCTGCTGCTCCTGCTCCTGCTCCTCCTCCCTCTGCTGCAGCTCCTGCTGATGTTGCAGAAAGCGTTGCGGCTCGAATTGCATGGACTTCTCGCCCCACCAGGCGGCATCGCGCTGCATGCTGAACGTGTCCAGCGCAATGATCGTGTTCTGCGGCACAATCGCATCGCGACCCGCCAGCTGAAAGTCGCGACTCACATGCCGCAAGTTCATCGGCACCGTCGCCAGCAGCCGCAGCGCCTCGTTCACGAATGCATCCAAATAGCGCAGCTGCTGCAGATGCTCCACGCCCACATAGCTGACGTCGTTGCCATGCGGCATGACGCTCTCAATTTCCGCGCGCAGCCGCTGCTGGCAGTCGCCCTTGTGCGTGGCCAAACAGAGCAGAGCGATCATGATGCTGTTCGAGACGGTCTCGAAGGACTGCAAGTGAGAGAGAAAGGAATATGTTTAAAAAGCGAGAAAGAGATGAAGATATAGAACATAAAAAGAGATGCCAGATAGATGTGGACATAGTGAAGCTTTCGACTACAGATACCCTATATATCATTGAAAAGCGACAAAAAGAAATATGAATTCACTAGATGTAAGATATATGTCGAAGAGGAATATCAAATATAGATGAAGAGCTGGAGGATGGGTAATAAAACTGAGTTAGATCAGAAAAGCTTTAGACTATATCAAAAAATAAAATATATAAAAAAAGAGGAGAGAGAGAGAAATGTATAAAAAAGAATTACGATAGCTCTACATATATGTATCCAATACATATATGCATAGGGTATGTTCTGGGTATATTCAATATGCCAAAGAATATGGAAAAGAGCATAGAAAAGAGGGAGACAGAGAGAGACAGAGACTTAGAGCGAGACAGAAAGATAAAAAATGATAGAGTATGAGAAAGAATGATAGAGATAGTGAGAGTTAGAAAGAGAAAGAGAGAATGATATTTAGAAAAGGAAAGTGATAGAGAAAGATGGAGAAATAAAGAGAAAAAATTATAGAGAGAATGGGGGGAAGTGTGAAGAAAAAGAAGAGACAGCGAGAAGGAGAAGAAAAAGAAGAAGAAAAGAATGATTAATAGAAGAGAGAGAGGAAGAATGATAAAAATATATAAAAAAGAAAAGAAAGAGAAAGACAAAAGATATACAGAAAGCAAGAGAAAGAAAGAGAGAGACAGAAAAACAGATGAATAAAAAAAGAAGAGAGAGGGAGAGATAGAAGGAGCTCTCCTGGAGAGAATGAGATACATAATAAGCCAGCTGTAAGTTTCCGACTCGTTATGTCTGATATACCCCACTTCCATGGCCAAAGGATATATTTTGTTCTATGAAACAAATAGACAAAAAATATATAAATTGATTAACTAAATATGACTCTTAAGTCACATGGGTCCTGACACACCTCACTTCTCTAATTACAGGGTATTTCTAAAGCAGCAATAATTATGGCAGCTCACAGAACTAGGCCAAGCTTAGCCAAAATCAATTTTAACACAGATGCCTTATTCCTTATCGCTGATCGCAAGAGATGAGAGCAGTTATGAGAGGATGTCGTTGGCATCATAAATTGAGGCATTGCCAATGCTGGCTGGGGCTAGTGCCACTTACCACCAGGACCATGGACTGGGCCTCGTCCTCGATGTCCTGCAGGGTTAGCTCGCCATTGGCGGCCAGCTGGAACATCTGCTCGATGAAGATGCGACGCTGCCAGGGCACATCGTCGTCGTTGTCGAGGGCGTTGCGCAGCTGCCAATTGCGATGCTTGCGCTGAACGATTTGTGCCACAAAATCGACGAGCAGCTGGTTGCATGCCGCGGCCTCTGCATACAATTGCGGCTCCAAAAGGCGATGCAGTAAATCGATTTGCAGCCAGGGCTTCACAATTTTAATGGCCGAGATTTCAAGTAGCCTATTCAAAAGCGAGCAGAGGGAGAGAGAGTGAAATTAGTGTGAGTCGATTGAGCTGCCAGCACTGGGACAGCACTCACCTTTTGTAGGTGGTGGCGATGTGTGCGTCATCCGCCTGCGTGAAATTCGTCGGTGTTCCCATAATGGTGACTGCAATAAAAGTTAACGAGGTGTTAAGCCGCAGAGACAGACAGAGAGACAGAGGGAGCGAGAGGGCGACAGCGTGTGTGACATTCAAATGTTGCCAGGTGACAGCAGCAAGGCAAAGCCAGCATAATTCGTGCTCAGCTTTAGAGCACCTAAGACACGGCGGTCTGGCTGCCTGTTTGCCTCTAGCCAACTGCTAATGGGCAGCGCTAACTGTTGTAGCCAGCAAATTCTCAAATCTCATGTAATTACATTTGGCCTTCAAATTGCTGCGCTGGCAGCCAAGGCGTAAGCCTCACGGCCGCAGGTGTCTGAGCTAACGGTATTTGCTAATGGAACATGTCGCTTCAATAGCTGGCAACGTATCAAAGCGAATTATTGAGACACATTTCATAATCATTTCAGTTAGCAAAGCCAAATGGCTTCCACTCATCCGTTGCAATGGAACTGAACTAAGTTTACTGATTTCGACAGACAGCTTGGCCCTAGACTCGAAATGCCCCAAGCTATCAAAGCTGAATTAACCAAGTTTAGTTGAGAATTAGTTGACTGCAAGCTGAGCTCCAAGGGGCACCTCCATAGAAGTCGGAAATCAATTCAAGCAAATCAAATTTACAACTTTCATTTGACTACTCTTGCTGTTACTAGGGTATTTTGTAGTCTGGCTACAGCCAAGTTGCACTCTTACTTTTTACAAGGTATCTCAAACGAGCTTAATCACGCTTACTTTCTATAGGGTATGTTCTAAGCCATCGTACTTGTTATAGGATATCTCTAAGTCGGTTCAGCTCTCAATAATATGTTATGCAGGGTATCTGCTAGTTGGGCAAAAACTAATTACTTCTTGTAGAGTTTCTCTTACGGTCTACAGCGACCTTTGGCACTTTTACTAATTACAGGGTATCTCCGAAACCAGCTGAGTCAATCTTTCTTTCTACAGGGTATTTTCTAAGCGACTTCTTATTATTATAGTATATCCCAAGTTGAGTCAACTCAATATTATAGGGTATCTTCTAGTTGGACTAGAGCGAATTATGTATTGTAGAGTATCTACAATGATCTCACTTTTTACAGGGTATTAAAGCTAATCGACCGTTGAGGATATCTCCCAGTCCGATCAGCTGACTATTATATGGTATAAAGGGTATCTTCCAGTTCAACTTAAACGCTCTTACTTGTTATGGCATATGTTTCAGACGACATGGAGCTGTCTTAATAT